GGCCGGAGGATTGAGAAAGGTGCCTTCAGCCCCTGGCTGGGATCGGCTGGGTTTCTAGCCAAAAGCGTCAAGTCAGTGTGGGGAGGGGGCAGATGTAGGTCTGCTTTGAGATAGTGCTGGTGCCTTTGGGCCCTTGGGGAGGGGGAGGGAGGAAGAGAGGGAGGGGGAGGGCATGCCCGGCTACCGCTTTCCAAAGCGGTCTCTGCACTGCTTCACCAGGAGGGCACTCCCATGCCGCCTCCTGGGCTTGGGGCAGAGGCCGGGGGGCAGTCGGGTGCCTTAAGGTTCAGGCTAGGTTTGGGAGACGCAGCTCTTCTGCTCAATTTGGGGCCGGAAGTGTCATTTAAGGCAGCGCTCTTCAATAGGATGCTCCCCGGTCCTCGATTCCTAGCTGGCCTCCTGGTGGGAAATCCTAATCCGTGTACCCGGGGCATCTCCTCCGCCCCAGAGAATCCGGTTCCATGGGCAGGATCCCCGTGCATTTACATAAAGGGCCAAGAATGGAAGCAGGGGGAGCCCCCCACTCAGTCCCTCGCGAATTTCCTGAGCTGGAGAACTGTAGAGCCTCTTTGCATCTTACAAAGCGGAGGATGGCTCGTTTCCTGGCCGGCCAGTTGCTGCTTTGCCCCCGAACGTGTGAAGCGGCTCCGAGGGAGGGGAGGAAGAGCTGGAGACCACCATGGGTGCTGCCGCGTCTCCTCTGCCCAGCCTCCAGGTACGTCCCACCTGCCTGGAGGGGGCCAGGCCCGGGAGACCCACCGGGCTGTCCTGTTGAGAAAGTGAGTGGGCCCAGAGTAGACGGTTCTTCCTCCGAAAAGCCCCCCTCCTTCCGGCTGCGCTCAGAAGTGGACGGTGGCCGCGATTCTCATGCTTCCCCTCTTGCATCCTGCGGGGTCCCCCCTGCCCCCCTCTGGGCAGCACCTCCTCCTCTCCCCGGGGGCCACCACTCCTCTCCATTTTGTACTTAGATAAGTCCTTTTGAAAACTCTTCCAAGGGGCGCCAAAGCCAAGTGGGGGACCCTCCCTTCTAGGGTACAGTAAACTTGCTTTAAAATTGGGGGGAGGAGGGGAGGGGGCCAAACAAACACTAAACCAGCAAGCTGCTTGACTCCTGCCTGGTGCAGATGCTTGCGGGGGGGGGTCTTCTCTGCCAGGAGCTGCTGCAGCTGGAAACAAGCCGTGGCCCCCGTCCTCCGGGCCCCCTCCGTCCTTCTAGGAAGGGGCACCACCCAGAGCGGTTCTTCGGAAAAGCCACTATTTCATTGTGCTGTTAATTTGGGGTGCTGTCGGGTGGGTCTGCTGAGGCCTGCTTTGCTGATCATATGGCAATTGTGCAGTATTTCTGTATTTTCTTAAACCAATATACTTACCAAAAAAGACATCTGTTGTATTTCTTTGGTCCGTGACGCGGGTGACCTTGGCGGCTGGGCTCTGCCTGTTCTGGGCTGCTTGGCTCGAGGTTAGCCCAGCGGCTGAGCCCGGCCTCCGGCCTCCGTAAGGCGTGGTGGGGTGTTATGCGGCGAGGCCAGCCCCGGTGCTCTGCCCCGGGGGGGTGGGGGGTCCTTCTCGTCTTTAGGTCGCCACACTGCCTCTCCCGTTTGGATGCTGTGGGATGATGGAGGGACCCATCCATGGAGAAACACCTTTGGCGTGGTATCAAGGCAATGTTCTTCAGAGGGTGGAGGAACCCCAAGGCCTGAGGCAATCAGGAGGGAAGCCATAGACATCCCCACGCCCACCAGCCCCAGGGCTGAGACAGCCTGCTGTTGGTTGAGGATGGGTCCTCCCAATGCAGCTGCGGCCCCGGCCTGCCACCGAAGCCGGGTCAAGGTGATCTGGCGGGGAAGACATGCCACCCTCTGACTTGCCTGGAGGAAGAACCTGAGGGAGGTCGGCAATGTGCAGGCGTCCAGGTGGCCTGCCCCCTTCCATCGGTCCAGTTTCAGCTGCTTTGGCTACAGGAAACAGCAGATCCCATGGGTTTCCCTTCTGCCTCTTTCAGCCTCTGGCAGGAAGGCAGGTCTTCCGTGGAGACGCTCCTCTTCCCGGGAACCTTCTCTGCCCCTCCATGCTACGTGCCCTCCCTGCCCCTGCCCCTGTCCCCTTCTCCCCCCCAACCCTGCCCCCCTGGAAGGACAGGAGGTTGCAAGAAGGAAGAGGCTGCACGGGTGGGGTGCGGTTTTTGAAGCAGCTCCTCAAGGATGGGAGGAAAACCGTCAGCTGAGGAAGTGGGAGGACTAGGCTGGTGGAATGCTGGAGTTCTGGATTTTAAGGGGAACCGTGGATCCCAAAAGCGACAAGTCAGTCCAATGGCGGGGGGTTCTTGATCTTAAAGGAAATGGAGCTGAGTGTAATTAAATGGACACCGTGGGCTTCAAAAAACAGCTTAACCTAGAGCACTGATAAAAGGAACTCCTGTCCTTGAAGGAGA